TCAGTAGGTAATCAGATAAACTCTCTGTGATACGGTGGGAAGAACAAACTGTTTTTGGAATGTTGGTTTGCGTTTTGCGTTTGTTTTCGTAAAATGTCGCGGTAAGCAAGAGTCGCCACCGACTTTTATTTTATCCAACGAGGAAAGGAAAAAAGCACAGAAAAATTCCTTTTTCGAGATATTTCTCGGGTTCGGGGGGTAGATTATAGAAAGGGAAGGTGTTAGCATCCTTTTTATCCGTGGTTATCCACGGGCTCTTAGGTACTTGCTCAATTATTTTCAAAGTATTGCTTTCTTTGTGCTTGTAGGTTTGAAAAAGTTTTTTGTTTTAAAACTTCGATTTAACTCTTGCTTCTGTCCTCAAGAGCGTATGAAGTGTTTTTGAAACTTTGTTCGAAAAGTGTAAGTGTGAAAAGTTTTTGTTTTTTGAAAGAGCAAGTATCTAAGAACCATCTACCTACTCGAAAAAGGAACCGTTCTATGCTATTTCCTTTAGACAATGCTATCTCACTATTGATGAGTAGGTAGCATCGTCGTTGGAGTTTAAGGGTCAATTCAAATGAGGGACTTACGGTCACTAAAGCAATGTTAGGACGCCTTAGCGGTAACCGTAATGTCTTAGATAATTTGTTTGAGGCAACAATATCTGAGGCAACCATTTCGAGGCGACTATGATCTTTTGGACAAGAGGGCGACCTCTAAAATGACCTATACTTAATGACCGTGTACGAAGGCAATCAAGTGGGGTGTACCCTAAGAGTGTGCATGTGCGAGTGTGTCGTTTTCAGTTTATTTTTATCTTTGCACATGTTAAGGGTGATCCAATTTGATTTTAGTTAAAACATTCAGTCTTGTCATGCGAACCCTATTATCAAACATCTAACAGTTATAATTTGCGGAAATAAAATGCAGAATTTAAATTACAAGGCGTCGGGTATTTACATCGCCAAAGACAAACCCTTTGAAAAATAAAATAAAGCGATAAATATAAATAAAAGTCCTATTTACTATTACAATCCAGAAGCAGGTACATTATTGGATAAAAAAGTAAAACGAGGCGCAAAATTAAATCGGACGCATGATTAGGATTTTGACCCTTTTGGTTAAAGAAGAAATCTTTTTGTTGTTTTTTTTATTTTAAGAAAGAAATAACCTAAATTAATTACTAAATTAAATTAAATAAATAAAAATAAAAATAAATTATTTTTGGAGTTTTTTGATTGTTTAGGAAAGAAATTATAATAATTAAATTAATGGTTAAAAACTAATTAAGTCTAATTGATTTTATTTATTTACAAAAAAATAAGTTAAAGTTTTCTAATTAAAATCCTAGTTAATTGATAAATTTATTGAGAAAAATAAAAGATTAAAATTTGATTTGCAAAATGTTTTTTGTGATTTTATTTGATAAAAGACTGAATTTTGATTGGTTAGAAATTAAAAAATAATAAAACAAATAATAAATTTAAATAAATAAAAGTAAAAGAGAGAGGGGTTTGGGCCTGAATTTGGGAGTATGAATAGAAATCGGAAGGCCCATTAGTGCTGGCCTCTTTGACTTTTTGAATCTGGTGCTTATGCATTGACTAGCGCCTTGGTGGACCATCAACTTTGAACCACCAGATCTGGCCTTTGGCCATCTAGCGTTTGAGTGGATGAAGGACCATGGTGGGTTGTACGCTTGAGTATGCATATGATCATCTGAAAAACAAAATTATTAAGGAAGTGGGGGACTTGAGATTCGAACCCAGGTCCTGAGACAGTTTACCCTTGCACGCTTGCCACTACGCTATGTTGATTCATTTGTTAATAAAACGCAAAGAATACATAATATAATAAAAACAAATCATATGCCAGCAATTAAAAAAAACACGCGCGTGGTTTGAAAGGGCCAATGGGCAGGGGACACCTCATCGTCCCTGTCCTGGAACCTGTAAAAGAATACCTGCGGATTTGAATCCGCAGCTAAAAACGCATGCCTATCCATAAATCTTCTCTAGGTCATATAAATCCATTTCAAGAACATGGTTTGACTCGTCCTGACTTCCTGATCAAAACCATGCCCTTCTTGTGGATCAATTGTTCCTGAAATAGAAAACCCCAAAAACGCTCCAAGAACCCTAACTATGGTGTTTTGTATTACAGGTTAGATAAACAAAATTAAATGATGCCAAAAGTTTACAAATGATGTGAGGATTACAAATATGCAGTTATTTCATTTAATGGATGCAAGAATGGTGAGTTTCGATTTTAAGAACAAAGGTATGTTTCGTGACACTTACAGCGCGTTATAGAGTCTGAAGATGCTTGGTTTTGATCCAGGTAGCTTGAGTGAATGCCCAGGAATCAATTGAGATATGTCTCAGCTCTTGAAAACACCTATAACTATGATTTCGATCTCAAGCTTTTTTATGAATTTTTCAAATCTTGTTCTTCCTCTCTCTGCACTTTCCAACCCTGATTTTGTATCCTTTGGCTTGCTTATGTAATATGCTTTGTATTAGGGTAAGAATCATGGACTGAATCCATTCATATCAATGCACATGAATGTGATTTGATCTCCATTATTAAACCTTCTAAATTGATTTGATTTGGATCTTTTTGCACATGATTTACTTTGATACGAGTTTGGAGATGTGCTAGCTGTCCATTGGAGCCTATAAATAAAAATCTTTGGTTATCAATTTTTTTTTGATTTTATGTGATTTAATTTGATTTAAAATGAATAAATCCAAATAAAAATAAAATTAAATAATAAAAATGATATATGGACACATGGCTGAAGCTAGGGCACGTGGACAATGATGCAAACTCAAATCAAGTGGAAAAGAATGAGCCCATTTGACAAAATTTGAAGTTTTGGGGATAGTTGACTTTTGGCAATTTTGCAAAAAAAGTCCAACTTTAACAATGCATAACTTCTTCAATTTTGAACTTTTGGAAGTGTTCTTGGACTTTTTAGAAAGCTTGAGATGTCCTCTAATCAACTCTTTTGGTCTCATCTCATCTTGATATTCCATACTCAAGTTATAAGCTTTGGAAAAAAATGTGTTTTTGTTAACTTTCAAAAATGACCTATAATGTCCAAATTTATAACTTCTTATGAGTGTATTTTTTGATCTTGGGGTATGAAGATGGATTGTAGGAATTGAATCCTCTTCAAAATGAGCTTTGGATGGGTCATTTCTCATAAAGTATGAGAAAGTTATGCTTGGTCAAAGTTGAGTTGACTTTTCCTACAAAATCCTAATTTAGCAACTTTTGAATCTTGATGAATTTTGAGCAATCCTTGATGAATCATGATCAACCCTTGATCAAATGATGAAATATCCTTCAAAATGAAAATGTTGGCAAAAAACTTGAAATTTGACTGTTTGTAGGTCACAGTTGACTTTTGCCCTAGCACAGTCGATTTTTGGACCTTTGAGCAATTGAGTGAGCAAACTTTCTCTGCAAGGCTTGAAATTTGACATGGATGATCTTGAGAGCATATTAGGACATTGGGGAGCACTTGAGATCATTTGTACTCAAGGACCTTGATGCAACACAAAACCCTAATTTGGGGTTGACTGCCTTAGGAGATAGCTTATCTGTCCAACTCTTGAGCAAACTTGAGCCACTTGGAGATTTTCCTTGCAATGTCTTAAGAAACATGAGAGGGCAAATTTTGGGGTACAAAAATCTCCATTTTAGAGGGATCCTTGGTTGGAAGAAGGGGTGTTAATGACTAGATTCAGAAGGCTTTATGAGTTAACTGATTATAAGGATGCTACGATAGCAGAGATGTATTCTTTAGGGTGGGGGCGAGTCGATGTAGTGGCTTTGAGTTGGCGTAAGAGGTTGTTTGCATGAGAGGAAGAGTTGGTGGGGGTGTATTACGCTATTGGATTCAATTGTTTTACATGAAGCGATTGACGATACTTTGGTGTGAAGACTCCATTCTTCAAATTGTTATAATGTGAGTAATGCGTATCATTGTTTGACAAAGATGGTTGTTGCTCAAAATAATATATTTTTTGGTTAATATATAATTTTTTTAATTTTTTCCAAAAACAAAATAATATATTTTTTTAACATTTTATATAAATTATTTTGTGCATTCTATATGCATTTAATCTTGACATGTTTCAAAATAAATGGATATTAGTATTAATAAACTGTATTTTTATAAAAATAATATTAATAAATATATGAAAATTTTATAAATAATTTTATTTAAAATCAAACATATATTTTATAATTTTTTTATAATTAACAACAAAGAGACCGTAAAAACCTTAGAAATAAAAGTCAATTAAATATATAAATAGGTTTAGTGATATGTACTATAAATATATATATTTTTTTATAAATAATTTTGTATTAGTAGGATTTGAACCTAGAACTTTAAAAGGAGTATATTTTCAAAACCAAGTCTTCACCAATATATCATACACATGGTTCAAATCTTTATCTTTATATTTCTTTTCAACTAATTCAATGGACCATTCGACTATGGAATGTTTCAAAAAATTAATTTCTATGGAATGTTTCTCAATGTTAAGTTAATTTTCATCAATAATATATTTCCAAATATATATATAAAAAAAATACAAACAACATAGTATTAGTAAATAATTGAAGATGTGAAGAAAATTGGAGGATCTATTTAGTTGTTGTGGAAACCTCGTAAGAGGGAATCTATGAGGCTGCTTTTCAGTTTCAACTTCAGCCTTATAATCTATTCTTTCTCTTTCTCCCACATGCTCTGTCACTCTTTTCCCCCTCAAACCAAAATCAGAAACTTTTCTTCTTCCTTCTAACCATTTTAATAATCTATCTCTTTCATTTCTTCAACATTGGATTCTCAAGCTCACTTTTTCAGGTAACGGATTTCATCCACTTCTCTGTTACTACCCTGTAGGATTAGGGTTTTCGTTTTCATTTTGGTTTTTTTCAATTTCTTCAGTGTTTTTTGGTGCTGGAGTTCTGTGTTTTGCAAAGCATTAATTGGTGAAGTGATGGGGAAAGGAAAAAGTCCTGGGAAATGGATCAAGAGCTTCTTCTCAGGGAAGAAATCGTCGTCCAAGTCGTCTAGTTCGTCGAAGAATAATGATATTTTTGTGAGTATTTCCGCCATTGTTGTTACACATTTTTGTTTATGCTTCTGTTATAAAGAAATTATTTGAGTTAGAATGTGTATTAATTGCTGCTTATATAGGTTTTGAGTATGGGTTTTGTAACAGTAAGTTTTGATTTGTTTATGTAGAAATCTTTGAGTAACAAGGATAGTTTGGGGGCTTCTGAGTTAAAGGTGTCTAATCCAATTCCAACTGTGGATTCTTTGCTAATATCACCGCCGATATCTGGAGCTAATGTTGCCAAAGAATTGTTTTTGGAAAAGGAAGTAGTTAATCAGTCATCATCACATGAGAGGGAAATTGTCTCAAATGGAGGGGAAGAGACTCAAGCAGTATCTCTCGTTGCTAATTTAGCTTCTCAAGTTGATGTTGGGACAGTCAGGGTTACAGATGCTGCTATTAAACTTCAGGCTGCTTGTAGAGGCTATCGGGTAATACTAATACTCCTTTTTAGTATTTGTATGTATTGGAAAATTTCTTTGTATGATTTATGGTTAAGTTCTTAAAGTGATTGTTGCATAACTTTATTGAAGGCTCGCCGGGAATTTCAAACACAAAAAGCTATTACACTGCTGCAAGCTCTTATTCGTGGTCACTTGGTTAGAAGACAAGCTGTTTCTGCTTTATATTGTGTGAAGAGAATTGTTAAATTCCAAGCATTGGCTCGCGGTTACAATGTTAGGCGTTCTGATATTGGGCTTGAGGTCCTGAAAATTCGTAAGGTAAAAAGTTCTTTAGCTGATTTCATCAAATGTTAGAGGGTTTTCATTTAATCAGTATCAAACAGTGTTTTCTGTCGTACCGTTGTCGTGCTTCACTAACTACTTCTTCAACATACTTTTGTCAGGATACTCAATGTTCAAAATCTATTGCGGCAGTTACATCCACAGAGGCAGAGAAGCTGCCCGATAATGTCTTTGTCGACAAGGTAGAAACTCCTAATTAATGTCAAATTGCCAATGACAAATAATAGATTGTTTTAGGTTGTTATATATGAAACTTAGCTAACTTAATTAAAACTCATGAAATTCTTATCATTACTAATGGTGCCTTACTCACACTCTTACTGATATTATTTATTGATATTAATGGTAGCATGCGTTGACTTTGAACAACTGATTTTTTCTTTAGTTGTTTCATTTAGTTAGTGTTATTGTTTTGAAACTAAATTGTGTCTGTAATTTTGACTATGATAAAAGCTTATAACATATGATATCCATTCCAGCTGCTGGCTTCATCGTCCCATGCATTTCCTCTATCTCTCAGTAGTGATCTTGGAGAACCTTACTTGGCTGGAAACTGGCTTGACCGATGGACTAGGTCACAGTTTTGGGCACCTCTTCCTAAATTGAAGAAGAAACCTGATTCAGCATTTGATGATAAAAATATCAGTTCTCAAACAGTTGAAAAGGGACAAGTTAAAAGGAATACTCGGAAATCTCCTACCGTTAAAGCCAATGATGGCTCAAGTTCAGGTTCTAACAAACAGAAACAAGGTCTAAAAAAGGATTCAAATCACTCATCGGTTTCTGTTCAGGAACACGAACACCCAAGGAAAGAAATTGAAAAAAGCAGTCTAAAAAAAACTCGCATGCAGAATGTTTCAGACAGATCTGAGATTGTTAATGAGAAAAGAAAGCACAGCTCTAGAGCAATTTCAGATCATACTGTTACTGATGTTTCAGAGCAAGGGCCAATTTCCTCTTCTGAGAAAATGAAAGTGATCACAGTGCCAAAGTCTGAAGAGTCTTATCCAGAGAAAGGTCTTGGGCAGAAAGGACTAGAAGAGAATAATGATAAGCCAAAGAAGAGCTTAAACGGAGGTGCCAAAGAAGAAAAAGGTATTGGACAGAAAGCACTAGAAGAGAATAATGATAAGCCAAAGAAGAGCATTAATGGCGGTGCCGTAGATCAGAAAGGTCTTGGACAGAAAGCACTAGAAGATAACAACGATAAGCCCAAAAAGAGCTTAAGTGGTGGTTCAAAAGAAGAGAAAAGTCTTGGACAGAAAGCACTAGAAGAGAAAGGTCATAATGATCCCACTGCTGTTTTACAGACTAGTGTGAAGAATGTAGGAGATGCTAAAATAGGAGTTAGCGAAGCCCTAAATGGCGGTGACAAAATTGTCAGCAACAATTACCAAAGAAGAGCTTCACTACCTGCTAATTTTAATGATCAAGAAAATGAGTTACATAACACTCCAAGACTGCCGAGTTATATGGCTCCTACTGAGTCGGCAAAAGCTAGGCTAAGAGGACAAGGCTCACCTAGATTTGCTACCGATTTTTTAGACAAAAACAGTTTAACCAGGAGGCATTCACTTTCGTCCTCGTTTAACAGCAAGTCAGGTTCATTTTCCCCGAGAGCAGAAAAGCTTGTAAGTTTGAGCAGCAGAGGAGTTGCGAGGACTGATAAATCTCTGTCATCTTCAAGGGATGGCACTGGTAAGCGCTTAGAACTTTCACTATCTCTCTGAGCCTTTTCAAAGTTTTCATTCACTGATATTAATGCTCTGTGATATCTTTTACGACGAGGAAAATTTTGCATAATACATACATTCGCACACATCAAATAGGATATTAGTTTACTCCTATTGTTATTTGAGCATGACTGTTTCTATTACTCAGTGTGCTCTGTGTATATTATCAATTCCAGATAAGTTGACACAACCTCAGTGGAGAAGGTGATTTTATGCAATCTTTCAGAACCGAGATACTTCAAGGAGGTACAACCTCAGTGGATAAGATATGATGAATTAGATTACAACCTTTTTCTTTAGTCATCATTGTCATTATTATTTGTGTTGCAGTCCTAGTCTGATATCTTACGAAGAACACACGATGTAATCAGTCTGATATTAACTTTCTTTTAGAAGGGAATACTTTTCTGGGTATATATGTCTACGAAATTAAGCTTAGTTACGGATTTTCTCTTTTTTCGAGTCATTGTGATGTATTGTTCAAACCATTGTTTCAAAGAGTGTCATATTTTGAGAATGCTTTCCAGATCGTGTTATTATTCATTAATGCCACGAGTCTTGGTGCAACCGGGAATTCATTGGCCAGCTACATTATATGGTTTAAAGAGTGTCATATTTTGAGAATATTTAAATTGCTTTTTTTTATAATTAAAATAATAAGAATAAAATTGAGATAAAAAATGAAAAGAAAATGAATATGTAAGGAACAGTTTACGAGGTTGTTCTTTACGAGGTTGTTCACCTTAATATTTTCTGGCAATTGGTTCAGAAAGGATTGCTGATGCCATTTTGTTCAAGAGGAAATTTGGAATACTTGAAATGGCACAACAAATTATAATTTAGGAGGGCTAAATGTATTATTGAAATACTCATGTAATAAATTATAAGGAAATTTTATAAAAGTAAAAGTTGACATTTTTCTTCTTATTTGTTGTTTATATATTGGAAATACCCTTTATTTTATTTTTATTCTTAGAATAGTTTTGTAGAATTAATGACACTTCATTAAACAGATCACAATCACTAGTTTAAACAAAACACAATCAATAAATATGTGATGCTTATGTAGAATATTTGAGAATTGGCTAGTAATGTGTCTATTACTATTACACAAAGTTTGAAGTGATGTACCAAAATAAGATGAAACATGATTAACATGCATATGGAATGAAGCACAAAAACTGTTTTGAAAGTGTTGATCGAACACATAAATACATTCTTCGGTTTTTTGATGAACATAATTTTGAACGTTTTATTTGGTGGAAAAAGTTGTGGTATTCGGGAGAAATTTTAGACAAATTCGGCCAATATCAATGGAACAAATCAAACCATCCGTCCATCTTCTCTAAAACATGGAGCACACGTAATTAAAGTTATCTAGAACACCTCCGACCTCACACCAGGAATAGATTTAAGCCTGAAAAGATCCTTCCATATAATATTTGTTGTGAATTCAATGCCAATAACAGAGTATAGAATAAGGGATGAATAACGAACAAGGAAGAAGAAGAACACAAGAATTGGTTATAACTGCTATTCTTTACTTTCTCTTAGAAAAACAAGATTACAAGTTTACAAGAATAACAAATAACCCTCTCACCCTAAATTAGGATTTGCTGTGTGTTGCAATGATGAGAGACTAGTATGCTATTTATAATAAAACCTAACATACTAACTAATGGGCTTTTTCCACAAGGCCCATTATACAAGCTAACTTAATAAACAAGCTAACTTAACAAATTAGGGTTTAAACACTAAAACCTAATTTAACAAGCATTTTCGACAAATACATGCTAGACCCTTCTTCGACTACAGCATGTACTTCGATCATACTAGAGTTTGATCCAAAGTCCCACAAATCTCCACCTTGGACCTAACTCTACAGCATCAAGAGACACTAACTAGCTTTCTTCATGCAGCTTTATCAACTGCATACAGTGGAAAAACTTGCAACTTGGCAATGTTTTGGTGATCATATCAGCGGCATTGTGATCTGTCGAGACCTTCAGCACTTGGACTTCTCCACGCTCGATTACCCCTCTGACGAAATGCAGCCTCACATCTATGTGCTTGGTTCGCTCATGATAGGCTGAGTTCTTCGACAGGTGTATTGCACTTTGACTATCACATTTAACAGTGATACCTTGACCTTGAAGTTTCAGTTCCTTTGCAAAACCTTCAAGCCACAATGCTTCTTTCACAGCTTCAGTTAGGGCAATATATTCTGCTTCAGTAGTTGATAAGGCAACAACCTTCTGAAGAGTTGCTTTCCAACTAATTGCTGTACCAAACATAGTGAAAACATATCCATAAATAGATTTTCTGGAATCCATACAACCTGCATAATCAGAGTCAACATAGCCTTCGACAGCTGCTTTACTATCTTCACCCAAGGCTCCACCATAAATTAAGACTCTGTTCAGAGACCCATTTATGTACCTTAGAATCCACTTTAACGCTTGCCAGTGAGCCTTTCCAGGATTCGCCATGTACCTGCTTACAAGACTTACTGCATATGCTATGTCGGGTCTAGTACAGACCATAGCATACATCAAAGAACCAACTATATTAGCATATGGGATGTTGTTCATATAGGTTCTTTCAACATCAGTACTGGGACATTGATCAATGCTCAGCTTGAATTGAGGGTTTGTTGGAGTCACAACAGGCTTTGAATTCGACATACCAAACTTGTCAAGAATCTTTCGTAGGTATGCCTCTTGAGATAAGCATAATTTCGACTGCTTTCTATCTCTTCGAATGTCAATTCCAAGAATCCTAGATGCAGCTCCCAGATCCTTCATGTCAAACTCCTTATTGAGTTCAGCCTTCACCCTCATTACATCTTCGACATTGTTGCTTGCTATCAGAATATCATCAACATAAAGCAACAAAATAACAAATGAGTTTTCAGGTCGAAATCTGGAGTAAACACAATGGTCGAACTGACTTCTAATGAAACCTATGTGTTCCATGAACTTGTCGAATCTCTTATTCCACTGTCGAGGAGATTGTTTAAGTCCATATAAAGATCTCTTCAGTTTGCACACATAATCTTCTTTCCCCTTTTCGACATACCCTTCAGGTTGCCTCATCAGGATTGTTTCATCTAAGTCACCATACAAGAACGCAGTCTTCACATCCATTTGTTCCAGTTCAAGGTCGAACTGAGCCACCATGGCAAGCAACATTCGGATGGATCTGTGCTTCACAACAGGGGAAAATACATCATTGAAGTCGACACCTTCTTTCTGAGTGAAACCCCTTGCGACTAATCTTGCCTTGTACCTCTTCGACATTACTCCTTCAATTCCTTCCTTAACTTTGAAAATCCACTTACAGCTGACTAACCTTGCCCCAACAGGTTTCTTGATTAGTTCCCAAGTATGATTATCATGAAGAGATTTCATCTCATCATGCATGGCCTTTAGCCATTCAGTCTTCATTCGACTCCTTATAACTTCCTTATAATCTCTAGGTTCTTCGTCTAGAACTTCACTTGCAGAGATTAAGGCATAAGCTACAAGATCTGCATATCCAAGTCTCTGAGGTGGTTTTATGACTCTTCTTTGCCTATCTCTCGACAATAGGTAGTCATCAACAGTTTCCTCAACATCATCAGAATCTTCTGTTTCTTCTTCGACTTCATCTGGGATACGCATTTCAGCATCAACATGCTCCACCTCAACAGGAATCTCTACCTGTTCCAGCTCTTCGTCAACATCATCAGTTTTCTTGAAAGCCATTTCAGTTTCATTGAAAACTACATCTCGACTGGTGATACACCTCCTGTGACCTGGCTCTAGGCACCATAGCCTATAAGCTTTCACTCCTTCAGGGTATCCCATAAACATGCATTTCAGAGCTCTAGGTTCGACCTTGTCTTGCCTAATGTGAGCATAGGCTACACAGCCAAATACTCTTAGTTTGTCGAGATCTGGTGGATGTCCCGACCAAACTTCTTCGGGTGTCTTCATATCTAACGCTGTCGAAGGACATCTGTTTATCAGATATGTTGCTGTCGAAACAGCCTCAGCCCAAAACACCTTCTTTAATCCCGCACTAGTCAACATGCATCTAACTCTCTCCAAAATAGTTCGATTAAACCTTTCAGCCAAACCATTTTGTTGTGGAGTACCTGCGGTAGTTCTGTGCCTTGCAATACCAGAGGCAACACAAAAACTGTCGAACGCCTCATTGCAAAACTCAAGGCCATTGTCGGTTCTCAACCTCTTTACCTTTCTGCCAGTTTGATTTTCGACAAGAGTCTTCCAACTTTTGAAATTCTCAAAAGTTTCATCCTTAGTCTTCTGGATGAATACCCATAACTTTCTGGAATAGTCATCTACTATGGATAGAAAATACTTTGCTCCTGAATGTGATGGACACCTTGCAGGCCCCCAAAGATCAGCATGGATGTAATCAAGGGATCCATGTGTTCTCTGTTTGCCTTTGTTGAACTTCATTCTACAGGACTTTCCAAGTACACAGGGTTCACAAAACTTCAGCTTTTCGACTTTATCTCCACCAAGCAGATTTTGTTTCCCTAATTCAACCAGACCCCTTTCACTGACATGGCCCAATCTCATGTTCCTAAATCTTCGACAAAGGTTTCGTGGATGCAACATTTGTCGAACCACTTACAACTTCAGCCTCAAGGGTATACAAGCCTTGTTTCTTCACGCCTCTCAAGACTTCCTTCGACCATTTCATGACTCTCAGGATACTTTTCTCTCCTTGAAACACATATCCTTTCTTGTCGAATTCACCAAGAGAAATCAAATTTCTCTTCAAATCAGGTACATACCTGACTTCAGTCAACAATCTTATTGACTCATCATGGAGCTTGAATCTCACAGATCCAACGCCTGCAATCTTGCAAGCTTTGTTGTTTCCCAGCAATACAGATCCACCATCTTGATCACATAATTCCTCGAACAAGTCTTTGTTTGGAGTCATGTGCCAAGTGCATCCAGAATCCATAATCCACTCCTTCGACGAGTTGTTGCTTGAAACCACAAGAACATCAGATGATTCGAAATCATCTTGGACAATAGCTGCATTGCCATTATCCTTACCTCCATGATCTTTCAGGCGTTCAGGGCACACCTTTCTTGTGTGACCTACTTTCTTACAGTGATAACATCTAATACCAGATGCGTCACCACTATAAGACTTCGACTGATTTTTACCTTTCCTCTTGTCGAA